ACGCATAGACAAGTTTCTCAGTACTTGGATCTTTTTTAGATGAAACCCAGACTGGTATCACCATGGATGTGTTGGATGACCCTTCACCTGCTACACTGAGTGACGTTGCAGCAGCACGTCGATTTGTCTCTGGTTCTGATGTAGACCTTTCCCTTTTGTAATTGTCATCATGTAGAGCTGTAGGATGCTTTCCTTTGCAGTGGTCGCAGTAATGACGGTGACGGCAGTCTCTCACGCTGTGGCCGGGTTTCAAGCATCCATAGCAGAGTTTCTTCTCTTTTATGTAGTTGCGTCGCTCAACCAACACCATCTCAGTGAACTTGGAGCATGCATGAAGCTGGTGTCTATTATCTTGACAAAGGATACATGAAGTCTTAACTTTCCTCTGTTCTGACTTGTGGTTTTCATTGTCAGGAACTGTTTGAGTGGAAAGAACACTGGCTTTGTTTTTCTTCACGTCTCTGAGATTTCTCTTCTCAGCACTAGAATCTGATGAACGAAGGGCATGAAAGGACGTAATGGGGTTGCAAGCAATCTCAGCTTCAGTCGATGTGAATTTTGCAAACTCCTTGAAACTTGGGAATTCTTGATTTTCATTTAGGCTTTGCGTGACTTGTCGATTCCATCGCAAAGCTGCCCAGTCTGGTAGTTTGTGAACGAGCTTCTGGTTCTCCTCACAGTCATTTAATATGTCGAGACCCTTGACATAAGGCATGGCATCTTGGCAAGCATTCAGAAAATCTGCGAAGCGTCTAAGTCCTTCAGCATCCTTTGATGGTATTCTCGGCCAGTTGGTTAGCTTTTCTCTGAATGCTCTCTGAATGGCGAATGGCTGGCCAAAGCGACGATTTAGTTTGTCCCAGGCATCTTGGTAGGCTTCATTGTCATTTCGATAGAAGTTGCCATCTAAAACCTGCCGTGCTGGACCACCAACATATTTTTTCAGGTAGTATAGTTTTTCAGCTGGTGTGATTGCCCTTTGATCAATGAGTGAGGTGAATGCTGCCTTCCATTCAATGAATTGTATGGGATTGCCATTGAAGACAAATGGCTCAGGAACAGGAAGCCTATTTAAGGCTATGTTGTCTTGAAGAATCTGAGCGAGAGAGGGAACGTCTGTATAACGGGGCGATGCGACTTGAGACAGGGGCAATGCAGTTACAGGCACATTCTTTGCTTCCATGTTCCTTTCCCTTTTAGCATAGTTAGCATCCTTGTGTTCTGTTTCCTTATCGTAGATCTTCAACTTGGCTTGGGCTGCCCGTATCTCTTTCTCTGCCTGCAATCGCTCCAACTCACGCCTTTGTGCCTCTAAAGCTTTGCGTTGTTGTTCCTCCAACTCTCTTATAGATTCCTTTTGCCTTTCTTCCTCTAGCAGCATCTGATAATTTGACTCTTTTACTGCTAGTTCAGCTGCAGCATCCACACGTTTTGCTTTCATGGATGTAGTTATGGAGCTGTGGCTGTCAGACTGGCTGTGACTTAACGAAGAAGCTGCGGATCCATAGACAGACTTTGCATAGTCATGGCGGAGCAGTTCATGAAGGCGATGTCTTTCCTGCTGTTCATTGAACTCGCTTTCATTATCTATAGCTCTGCTGTAGGCAATGTTGGTGATTTCTGTAGTCACCGATTCACATGTATCAACTCTTCTTCTAATGTCGGTAGAGGGTGTGGTGAGATTTCGAATTTCAAAATAAATGGTCATTATGTCTTCCTTTTCTTTCTTAAGCTCTTCAATGAGAGGCCAGAGTTGACTCTCTGACATAAAAGACTTTAGCTGATCTCTTGCCTTGCGTGTGTGGAGCTTCCACTGCTCGTACATGGCATACAGCCTTTTCTCTTTTTTCTTGGCCTCTTCGAGTTGATGTGCGCGCATCTTCTCTGTGGGATAGTGCGTGCGTTCAGAGCGTCTAGGGCCTTCAAGAGCATTATCATCCTTAAGCTTGCCTTGGAAGTCAGTTAGACCTTGTTGTTTAGCTTCATTTGTTTCCTTCAGACATGGTCTCTCTGATGAGTCTACCATTATGTGGGCTTCACTTTGTAAATCTTCATGCTGAGAACTAGCCATCTGCTCCACCACCTCCTTCTCATTACCTGACTCTGACATTATTATCCAATTTTAAACTCTAATGGCAGAAGAAGATCCCTTTAGAAGATATAATCAATCCCTTGTTATAGAACAGCAAACATGAAATATCACAACATCAGATAATAGCTAGCACATATGCATTTACATATAGACATTCAAATAACTGTAAATGTCAATGTAATATCACAATAAACAAAACGTTATTAGATCCAAAATGTGAGAAATGTAAATGCAACAGCTTCAATAACCACAGTTAAGAAATGAAACAGATGCGAAGTCCAAAAAACGTATGTGTCCTTAATTAGAAAGAGTCCATGGAATGTATGCAGGTATGGGTGTAAAATGCAACAAGAGTCTATTTTGATGCTCTCCTTACTGAGCCGTTGAGTATTAAATGTTCAGTCCAAGAAGCAAATCATCTGTTGTTCGCCGTATGCTGTACTACAGACAGTATAATAATGGGTTAATACTCACAATCCTGCATCAATGTCCGTGCGTGTGACTGTACTTGACCATTGCACCGAATACGTGAGACCGCTGTCCAAAGTAGGTCAGGCGCGAAGCGCGCGGATGCAACTCGATGAGTCCACGCTGACACCTCGTGGCGATATCGCGGAAGCTAGCCG